AATGTCATTAAAAAAAAAAAAAAAGACACAGTTCTTGCTCAAAAATACGTAAGAAATCTAATTGTTAAATATATATATATATTATGTTTCTTGAATAGACTGTGGTAACAAAACAAGATAGAACAGCTAAAAATTCATTCTGGGACAATTGATAAAATTTTAAAATGCACTAATTATTAAATAATGGTAGGGGATTATTGTTAATTTTATTTCACATGACACTTATATTGTAATTTAGTAGGAAAATATTATTTTTGCAAAATGCATGTTGAAGTTTTCAGGGGTAGAGTAAGACATTATTTCTAGTAGTACCTTGGTAGTTGTTAATCTGTTCTGGGATCAAAAATGAGTATCCACAAAGATGAGTAGTAAACACACTGTTTTTGCTGGAAAGGTTAATGAGTCACAATGTAGTTGACACTGACAATTTCTAGTTTGTGAGGCAAGTACCTAACAAATGAACTAGGGTCACATTTTTTCTTCAAAATGTACCAAATTTGATGAGTTTCACAGCAGTCACATACCAAGATATGACTGTACTATGAAATATTTTTGTAAAAATTATGAATACATGAGTATACTATGTGTTTAAGTTTAATAACTTCAAAAGTTTAACTGCTATAAACATAAAATCATTTGAAATTTTAACTATATAGATATTACATTTGTCTTTTGAAAAATATTTTGTGTCTTTGTGGTGATGGGAATTAAGCTAAAGTTCTCATGTATTCTAAACACATGTTCTATTACTAAGCTACATTTCTATCCCTGAATAAATTTTTAATTTATTTTTGTTCCAGTGAACATTTACCACTTTTAGTCAGAGGGAAACTAAAGTAAATTCATCATAAAAACTTATTCACTGAAACTACAAATCTAAATAAGCATAAAAATATAAATACTTAAATTTCAAATATAGTTCTTTTGTTAGTTTGTAGCAGTTAAATTTTTGAAGTTATTAAAGCTTAAAACTCTTTTAAGACTTTGGGATGTTTGTATGTGAATGAATTATGTATGACAAAATTTTTTCATAATTATTGGATCTAGATATAAGATGGTTGCATGTTCATTGTACTATTCCTTTTCTGTGTTAAATTTTTTATAATAAAAATTAAAATATTAGAAAGTAATAACTAGGGGACTGGGGGTTTAGCTCAGCGGCATAAGTGCCTGCCTTGCAAGCAGGCAGTCAGTACCAATAAAAAGTTCAATTTCAGTACCAATAAAAAGGAAAAAGATCAAAAAAAAAAAAAAAGAATAATAACTAAAATGACAATATAAGAATAAAAAGGAAAAAAGTTGTTATAATTGCATTGTAAAATGACTCAATTCATATCAAATATCCATAAACATATAGAAAGAACATAAAGTCATACCTCAGTACTTGTTATTGATTTGTACTGGAACTCATGATGAATGGGAAGTGAATTCTTCCCCATAAGAAATAATTTATGAAAGTTTCCTAGAACTCTTATATTTTACTGGACTAGTATTAACCTTTTACTGAACTAATAGAAGTCTTTTAAGCCTAGTGTTATCACTCTCAACCTTTTTTGCAATCCAAGATTAGTGCCTAAGATGCACAACAGTACTATAGGAAAAGACAAACATGTGGGAATTCCATACTGTTTGAGAACTACCACGAAACTGATGTAAGTGTCAAATGCTGAAACATTTTTCTCATCAAAATGCAACAAGTACCAAAGTGTAACTACATAGAATAAAGCTAAGAATTATCTGTATTAGAATACTTTCTATTTTGTTTTCTGGTATTTTCCATAAATCTGAATTTATAAAATCAATCAACTTATATTACTACAACCACACACTTCTTCAAAAATAATACTTAGGAGGCTGAGGCAAGAGGATCCTTGCAAATTCAAGGCCAACCTGCCCTACAAATTGAGTTCACGGCTATTCTGAACTGCATAGTGAGACCCTGTCTCAAAAAGCTAAGAAAAAAAAGCCTACTTATACAAACTTGTTAAATTAAGTTTAAAACAGCTTTATAAAGTGGCTATTCTTGCCAGGCATGTTGCTGAATACCTGTATTTCCAGCACTTGGGAAGTGAGACAAGAGGATCTCAAGTTTGAAGCCAGCCTGAGAAGCAAATGGAGTTGAAGGCCAGCCTTAATTACTCAGTAAGACCCTGTCTAAAACAGAGGTGGGGTAGGTGAGCGGTGCTTCACTATTCTAAGGGTAAAGAATACTTTGTCTACTTCATTAAGTTGACAATGATAGCTCTAAGGTGGATTACTAGTTATTATCTTGGAATTCAATTTCTAAAATGAATTTTTATTTATATCAAAATTTAACATTGAGTAGAAACTAGAAATTTCAGACATAGTCTCAAAATTCATTGCCTTCTTTAATTATAGTAACAGCCTTTGCCTGTTCTCCATCTATATACTAATCCTTTTTCCTTCCTTTCATATTTCCTTTACTCACTAACTATTTAGTAACTATTTATGCAGGGTCTATAGAACACAGTTCCTGCCAAAAGAAACAAATCTGGGATGTCAGACATAGAATGGATAATTATAAACAATGTGTTCAATGTAATAATAAGAACAGGGTTTCAGAATAAAGTAGTAAAGGAGTGGGAGTGGCCAATGTGAGCTAAGTGGGAGAGCCAAGAAAGGTTGTCTCAGAGAAGGAGGAAAAGGAAAATTGTCCAAGTAAACAGCTTGATAAAAGGCATTCTTGGCAGTGAGGAAGAAGAGTACCTCAATCACTTTTCTCCTTGTTAGGACAAAATACCCAATGCCCACATCTAAAAGGAAGAGGGGTTATTTTAGCTCAGTTTTTAGTCCACAGTTGACTGGCTTTAAAGGCAGAAATGCAATGGCACAGGGCCCTGGTGGAGGAATAGCTTCTTGTTTTTTTTTTGTTTTTGTTTTTTTTTTTTTTGGTACCGGGGATCGAACTCACAACCACGCGCTTGCAAGGCAGGTGCTTATGCTGCTGAGCTAAATCCCCAGCCCCAGGAATAGTTTCTTACATCATAGCTGCCAGGAAGCAGCAAGTTGGGAAGGGAGATACACTACTCTCCAGGTCGTACTCCAGTGACCTGCCTCTTTGGACCAGATTCCCTTCCCAACAAGCCAGCTGCAATTCCCCATAATCCAATCATCTTTCCAAAAATATTAGACTTTGGGGTCATTTTATATCTAAACCATAACAATGAGATTATGGAGAAACAGAGACAGAGAACAAGGGGACCAAAGTCCAATAACCACAACTCCAGAGACGAGGGCCTCAATGACTCATGAGAGTGGTATCTATGAACCTAATCATCTTTTATAAGATAATACTCTTCGACATTGTCACAATGGGAAGTAATGTCATCGTAAGTTTTGGAAGGGAATAAGAAGCACTGAAGCAGTATAGATAGCTAGGGGAAATTATTGAGGTCTTATTGTTGTTATTGACATACAAATAGGGTGATCAGGGCCAGGAATATAGCTTAGTGGTACAGTGCCTGCCTGGAAGTGCAAGGTCCTGAGTTCAATTTCTGGTACCAAAACAAAACAAATAAAGTGACGAGAACCCTCTTGCTCAAAGTGTAGTTCATAAAATCGTCTAATAAATTTTAATCTACTTGATTTTAAGATCACAAAGCACATTTCTATATTCAAAAATGATAGCTGTACCCACAGTGACTTTTGAAGAAAAAAAATACTGTTATCATTGGACATAAAAAATAAATTCCACCTTACCGATGGTCAAGTGTAGCCTGGAAACATTAAATAGGACAGTGTAGAAATAAATTATTTGGAAGTTTTAAATTATGTGCCATTCTGAGTAGCTTGATGAACTCTGCTGATGACATGAATGATCCCTTTTTCTAGCATATCCATGCTCTATGCTTCCTGCTCAGTATAGTCATTTAGTAGTCATCTTGCTTTTCAGATATACTACGAACGCTTCGAAGTGTTTATGTTTGAGTTACCCTTAATTTACTTAATAATGGACAAAAAAATGCAAAATAGTGAGGCTGTTATTCATATCTGCCAAAGAGAAGCTGCAGAGTGCTTCTTTTGAATGAAAAAATGAAAGTACAGTAAGAGACTGTGAGGCAGAAAGACATACATAAACACTACATTCATATAATTTCTATTATATATATAGTTGTTAATTTCTTAGAGTGAGTAACTTATTAGTTGAATTTTATTTTTAAAAAAAGAGATGGGTTTGGTGGTATAATACATGTTTAGTATGTATAAGGTTGAAGTTTCAAAACCTATCACAAAAAACAAAACCAAATACTACACACACATCAAACCAAAACAACTCCTTTATCATAAGAATGAATGCGAGGGAAAGTGAGGGAAATCAAAACAAAAATAAAACATGGCATTAGCTGAGAATCCCTTATCCAAAATCCTTGAGACCAGAATTATTCAGGTTTTGTCCCCCACACCCCAATTCGGTAATATTTACATAGACTTTACTGGTTGAACATTTCTAATCTAAAAATGTGAATTACTCCAAATCCAAACTTTTTGACTGACATGGGTGCTAAAAATGTTTAGATTTTGGATCATTTTGAATTTTACTGTTGGATGACAAATGCTCAGCCAGTATATATAGGATTTGGTATTGTACAAGGATTTAGTATTTTAGACATACATGGAGTCTTAGTATATAATGCCCCTACATGGAACAGTCATATTGAAGGAAAAATTCTGTCAAGAACTTGGCATTCATATAAGTGAAGAGAATACTAACATACAAGAATACAAACATTGCTTGATGCCTTCTAAGCAAGATCTACCTTTTTTCTTCAGTAAGACAAACAGATAACCATTAGTATACTGTTACACTAATGCCCCTACTGAAATGGGCATCTGGGTGAAGACTAGGTTGGTAGATGAACCAAAAATAAAATCAAGTCTGTAACTTCAAGGCAAAACCAGTAAACATTAAGGACTGCTTCAGACCTACAGTAAACTCATGAGATAGAATTTTTTAATCAGAAAAAGTAGTGTGCACTTACATCTCGGGCTTTCACGTAGAAGGCCTCTTGAAAAGCAGCTTCTAATGAGCCAATAAAAAATACAGGATGGCAGTCACCATATCTATAGAAAAAATTGAGTCTATTAAGATATATTTCAAATTCACTTGAAAGTTCCTTAAGACTAATCAATGACTCTTAAAATGTTGGAAGTAAAGTCTAGTGTAGATCAAACATTTTTTTTAAAAAGCATGATATGAGATTCAACAGTTTTTAAAATGCTTCTAAGCCTAGTGTAATGCAGAACACTGGAATTTTATGTATATCCAGAAAGCGGATTTAGTAAGTGCTCTGAAGTCATACCATTTTTAAGAACAATTCTTGGCTATTCGTGTTCACTAAGATTAAATTATTATGTTACCCTTAACTTTCCACTTTGTTCATTTATTTAGGAATTGCAACAAGGAGGACATATTCTTATAGTTTGTATATTACATCAGAAAATAACACTAAAGAGATATCATTTATTCTAAAATTGAGGGTTAAATATTAATTCTCTTTATATTTAAAAATTTTGGAGACTCCTAAATGTATATAAAACATTTTTAATAGTCTTAAAAAGAAATGCTCAAGAACTCCAAAATAAAAATAAAATAAAAAACTTTACTTACGTTTAAAATTTTTAAATTATCCTTTTAATATTATTTGAAAGAATTTTTTGTTTGTCCTAGAACATACTAAAAATCAATATCATATACTTAAGTCTTTTTGGAAACTTCCAATCATGACAATAATCTATTAATTACATTTTTATAATGATACACTTAAGTATATCACTTAAGTGGCACAAATGTTTCCTAATTATCTCACATAGAACAATGTGTTTCCCTATAAGGACTACATACATTGATAATGTACTTTTTGAAATTTTTTAAGAATAAGTTTTGAACATTCTATGATTAAAATTGTCCCAGAAAACATCACAGTAGCATAAATGAACATCAATTTTATATATTTAATATCCTAACCCTACCTTGAAGAAAACTCTGCTGTAAATTGTAATAAGGCATCTCCTTCATTTTCTGCGTTTTCTGGCACTAAAAAACAAACAAAAGAAAAAACAAAAACAAAAAAACCAAAACAAATAGACACAAAAAACAAACCACATAACATCTAATCCCACATATAAGAAATATATTTAATCAATAAAGAGTAAAGAAAATCCAGTTTTAGCTTCTGTGATATATCTGAGGGGACATTTTAACTCAGTTTACATTAAAAGATTTCATCAAGCCAAAATCAAAAAGAACCTTTAAAATATTTCAAGCTTATAAATTTTAGAAATCAACAGACACAGTCTTGTTAAGCATCTAAAATGTGCCAGTTGTCAAAATTTCAATATTAAAATAGAAAACTTGTGATTAAAGATCTGAAATTATATACCATTAATTGGGAAAGTTGTGAATTTTAACTAAGTGTTACATTTTTTCTGTTTACAGCATGGACTTCTCAATTTCATAAATCAAATGAACCATTTAAAGACGTTGTAGTCATTTTGCATATAGCACTGCTTATCATTCCATAATATGAATCTCCTGAATGGAAGAAAGAGAAATGGAATGTTTACTTTATACTTTTTCCTTCCAAACATGGGTAACAGTTAATGAAAGGTACTGTTACTTTTCTTCACCCTGCTATCTTTGATATGATATGGGGACAAGTACTAGTACACAGAAAGTAGGCTTGGAATAGAGAGTCAAAATTCACATATGAATCAAAGGTTACAGCCCCATGAATGTTCTGAGATTTTTATTACTGGATTAGGAATCTTTGGGCTTAATAAAATCAAAACCCAAAAGGTTTTGCTTCTAAAGATGAATGCCCACTCTCCATACCGAAAGGCCCGTAAAGATATTTAAAGTCACTGTTGTTTCTAACTTTGTGTGCTAGAGGGAGAATTACAATGCTGGCCCCAAAGAGTTATTAATACTCACTCATTGGAGATTTTCTCAGGGTAGATGACGCCATGCCGAATACTTCTCCATCATCCACCCCAAATTCTGAAGCATCTTCAAAGTCATCTCCATCGCTATCACTAACCATATGAACATCGGTGCTTTGCTATTTAAGGAAAGTCCTCATTAGATTCATTGTAACTTTGGCATATGAAATTCTAAAGTTATGTAGGATATTAGGACATTAGTGTTGCAATAGTTTTGCAAAATATGACGTTATTTGGTAAAGTTAAGCTTAATATTTTTCATTTTAAGGGTCAAATATATTTCTAAACTTACTGTGAACCTGTAAACCAACTTTGGAGACTGACAGAAAATGAAGGCTGCTAACAAACTCAATGAAGACAGGAAGCTGTGTTTTATCCCTAGTCTACAGTTAAGTTCTTAATAAATTAGCAGAAGTATATAACTGCAAAAGTCAGAGACAAAGCAAACTATCAGTTTCTCAAAAAGTTCATATTTTATGCTTAGCAAGTAGAAACAAAACCAGCATTTTCAAACTTGCCACAGTGCAAGTTTGACCCAACCACTTTCCACAGTGGTTCTCAAATTTCTCATTAATAAAAAAGATACATATGATACATTATCCTTAGTGTTGCTGGAAGATAAACACTATATGAAAATTCTGTGTAAAAGAAAGATAATTAAATATGAGTTGTAATAATGTTTTAATTCAATAAATGTTTATTGAAAATTCACTACATGCCAGACATTGATAAACTTGCTGTTTACTTTGTTTTCAGCAATATCCATTGAAGCTTACATATTAAAAATGGCAGCTTCAACATAGAAAATAGGATACATTCTAGGTTAAAATGAAATTCCAAAATACTTAAGATTTAAAACATTTAACCTGGGTTGTGAATATTGTCAAACATTTATGCCTCAGATGAGAAGAGGCTCCAAAGAAGATAGATGGCTAAATGCCTGTCTATACTATGTTCGATAAATACTCTACAAAGATTGGTAAACAAAATTTTTATTTTTTACAATATAGTGTTATGGACTTAAATTATAAAAATAGGGAAACTATTTGGTCCTTCAGAATCAAACTTAAAAAAAGTTTAACTCAGAGATGACTACTTGCCAGAAAAGTATTTAAACAAACAGAATCAAAATCTTATAAAACATAGCTATAAGCAATATTAGAGATGAGCTACTGAATCATAGATTTTGCCTCTTTTTTTTTGTTTGTTTTTCTGTTACCGGGGATCACACTCATGATCACGCACTTGCCAGGCAGGTGCTTATGCCACTGAGCTAAATCCTCGACCCTGAATCATAGATTTTTTTTTAAAATTTTATTTAAGGAGAAAAAAGAAAAAAAAGAGCAAAAGGGTACAAGTTATACAGAATTTCAAAAAAATAAACAGTAGGAAATCACTAGTTAATTACATATTGTCATCTTAGAAATAGTTGTTGAAGTTACAAAATTAAAGCATATAGACGGGACTTTCAAACAGTGAGACTGCAAACAGTTTTGTTCAATGATCCAACAAATCTTAGTAATATGGTTATCTATCTTATACACTATGCAGTTATATCTTTTAGAGAACTTTCTTTTCCTTTCTTTTGTACAATGACAGTTACACATTTTGGGTTTTATTACTCCCGCAGTTCTTATCACTTTTTTTTTTTGAAGAAAGTAAAACCAAATGTGACATACCAGGACAGAGTCAGTCAAATCAAAAGGATGGACATAATATATAATGTAAAAACAAAATACAAAGTGATCAACAATGGTTACCATAATGCCTCTTGTTATCTTAAAAAGAATTGCTTATATCACCAGTTATAATAAAATTGAACATAACAGTAAAGAATAAGACCAATAAAACCAAAACATTGGAGACATTAGAGGACTTCAAAAGAAGATAATAGTTAACCAGAATGGGCGTCACAATGAATCTTATTATCTTCATAGTTGTTGCCTATACTTTCAAACTTGGTACTATCAAGCATAACAGAATAGAGGAAAATCAGTCAAAACAAGATGGTGAGAGCAATACAGAGTTTCAAATCAAGTTAATAGGAAATCAAAGTGGGTTACTATAATATATCCTGCTATTTTTTATTTATTTTTCCCTTAATTAAATGGATAAAAATGAAAAAGTAGATAATAAAAAGGAGATTGAGATAAAAAAGGGGCATAACAACAACGCAGCGCAGGTCAAAACATAGCCATTTAAGCAAAATAGTGTTTCACCACAAGATAATCTTGACATAATAGTAGTTACCATAGTGTCTCTTCCCTTAAAATCTTTGGGTATAACTTCGTATACTGTAGCATCAAACATATCAAGACAATGTAAAACCATTCAAGAGAATGACAGTATTACAGGGTATTTAGAATCAACTAACAGAAAATGAACAATGGTTTCTGTATAATCTCCTTGTCTATAAAAGTTTTTGTTTATATTATCACATATAATAAAATCCAATAAGATACAACACGTTAAAACCGATAGAGACAGAAGAACAAAAGCTTGATGGGACTTCAAAACAAGAGGATATTAAATCAGCACTACCTATTATGATGTCTTGTTTTCTCCAAAATGGCTGTTCCTACCGTCCAACCTTCTCTGCCTCATTTCTGTTGAGCTCTTTTTCTGTCATTAGTTGTCAGTTTGTCCTCTTCATTTCACTTTCTGCTCCATTCATTGTGGCAGCTCTGCCACTGTTTCCGGAATCTTGGTATTTTTCATTTTTAGAATATCCTGCAGTAATCTCTGTAGAGCTGAATTGGTGGTTGCAAATTCCCCTAGTTCCTCTTTATCCTGGAAGAACCTTGTTTTTCCATCAATTTCTAGGGACAGTTGTGCATGATATATCAATCGTGGCTGGAGGTTATTATCTTTCAAAGCTTGAATTATTTCCCCCCACGCTCTTCGTGATTTGATGGTTTGTGCTGAGAAGTCTGCTGTAATTCTGATGTGTGTTCCCTTGTAAGTGATCTGTTTCTTGTCTTTGACGGCTTTTAATATTCTGTTCTTATATTGGATTTCTGGAATTTTGATTATTATATGCCTGGGTGTAGCTCTGTTTGGGTTGTAGGTGGCTGGGGTCCTGTATGCCTCATACATCTGAGTATCTTTACCTTTTGCTAAATTAGGGAAATTCTCCTGGATTATTTCTGTGAGTAGCTTTTGTAATTCATTTGTTTGAGTCTCTACTTCTTTTTTTATGATCTTAATTCTTAAGTTATAGATCCTTTATCATCTTCTAGTCTTTGTATTATTGCTGTTTGTTTTCTTGTTATTTTTAAGAAGTTTTTCATTTCACGCTCCCACCTTACAAATCTGTCCTCCAGTTCTGATAATCTATCCTTAGTTTCTTTCAAGCTGTTATGCCAGCTTTCAATAGAGTTTTTAGTTTCCTGGTAATCTCTTTGAACCTGCTTCATGTATTCTATATTTTCTCTATTTTCTCCATCAAACAATTCTCCCCTTTTTTTCTGTTCTTCCATTCCACCATCTGTTTTTTCTTGGGCGGTGCTTAGCATTTCTCTAACTATTCTACTTATTTCTTGCTTTATTTCATTAAATACTTCATTTTTGAACTCATCTATGAAGCTCCGGAGATACCACTTTATGTCTATAGGTGCCGTGTCTGATATTGCATGTTTTCTGTGTTCATTCTCTTTTGCATTTACCCTTCCTGGATCAGTGTTCTCAGGATTGGGGACTGAGGACCCTTTCTTGTTGCTCCCTTTTTCCATACTTTTTGTTCCTTCCATACAAGCATATGTAGGAGGCCCAGTTTTTTTTCTCTCTCTTTCTGTTACAGTTTGTTTGAATCTGCCGGCTAGGTGTTCCTGCCCACTGCAGTGTACTAGGGAGATCCAGACCTGGGCAGCCTCTGCTGGGCCCACCCCTCCAGGTCAACCTACTGAATGCTTCACTGCTAGGGTGCACCGCCAGGCGCAGGGACCTGATTTGGGCTAGCCTACTGGATCTTAGTCTGCGGTGTTACCAGGCCAAGCGCTCCCCACCACTCGCGCTTGAGAGGGGAATATGCGACTAAAGTCACTGCAGGGCCTGTTCCAGCTAGTCCACTCGTTCCTAGAATGTCCTCTGTTGGAGCCTCCTAGTCTATGAAAGGGTTCCCATTTCTTTCACTCACCGCAGGCTGATGCAGGGCTCCTTTCCAGTCCCGCTTTCAACGCCGCCATTTGGCTTGCCGATTCCAGCTCTCAGAGCTTTCGCGCGTCTCTCTCCCTGTTGTGTGGATTGGGATGCAGTATCGGCAGCAGGAAATTCAAATCGTGGTTTCCAGTGGCACGGGATCCAGCTTCCGCAATGAGGTTTTATCTGTTCCTGTTATAGCATCAGGATTGCATTTCCAGTTGGTTTCTCTCAGCTTAGTTTGTTCCTGGGTCGGCAGGGTACATCTCCCCTCGCGTAGGACTCCTCACACGGCACCGCTCCTGGATTCTAAACTGGTAATCTCAGAGAGCCTCTGTGGCTGCTGCTACTTGTCCACCATGTTCTCCCGGAACCCTTCTTGTTATCCCAGGGTAATGAAGGGTAAAAAATGAAACCTGTAATTCCAGCTACTTGAGAGGCTGAGGCAGGAGGATCAGTTGAACTCATAAGCTTGACAACATAGGGAAGCCCTCCTGAAGTCTGGGTAACAACCTAACTATCAGTGCAGGTGTCCTCAAGCCTGGCACACGTTGCTCCTTTCCCTTCTCCTGAATTATAGATTTTAAAGTTGGAAGAGATTCTAGAGATCTTACATCAGAGATTTCTAACTTTTTCCCATAGAGTTATCTCCCTTACTCAGGCTTCAATAAAATATTACATAAAATTATAATGCATAATATATAATGTGAATACATAATTATAAAAGTATGGTTGCTGTGGCTGAGGGAAAAAGAATATAGCTGATGGACCTCATAAGGAAATCAGGACACCGGGAACAATTTTAAAATTACCAACACAGTATGACAGCTCTAAATAAGGAAGCTGAGATTTACTCCCTTTGACTTAGTATGCTCAGCATTTCCTTTCCAGACATATCCAACCATTAACACAAAGAATCATTATTTTCCCTCTTGTCTTTAAGACAGGCTTTTTAATGCTTTACATAGAAAAGATAATAAAG